AGGGTTCAAACTTGCTGAGTCGACTCATTTTGGCGTCCTCTTTCGATTAAGACTAGAGCCACCCCTGTACGACGCACCGTTCCTGAGCCAGAAAAAAACCACCCCCTGCAAGGGATGATTCTTTAGGACCTTTTCCAGTTGGTCAGCGTGGTAGCGGGAGGTCCCCCGGACACGACAAAAGTGTTTCCGTGTCCGTGGCACTCTCCAGGGGGTGTCCAGCCCCTAACGACTGACACCCCAAATCTTGTTTTTTCCCTAAAACCACCAAAAATGTCAAAAACTGGGCCCAAAAGCAAGAAACACGATTGATTTTAACCGCCTGAATCGATTCCAGACGAAAAAACTGCACATCGTTGCTACCCAGTCGACATTGCTAGTACCAGGTCCCTGACTGTACCTCCCTCTGACCTCCATGCGAAGTCCGTTTTGTATGTCCATATCTGATGTCAGCTGGAGTAGTGGCGTACTACGGTCTGGTACGTGAAAAGTGCGGGAAACGCTACTCCGCCATCTTGGTCCTACTGGTCGCACTCACTAGTCCCTCCATAGTACAGAGGTAGTCCGAATCCGGACCATGCATATATCCGTGTACTTGTCGCGTTTGTACAGGTTAAATGCAACCAGAAATGCGACAAATTACTGCCGCTGGGCGTGACGTTGGCGAATTCCATTGTAAAATATATATAAAATCGGCAGTGAATCTCATTTAATTTCCTGAGGAAATTTTCAATTTCTTGAGAAAATTTTAAATTTTCTGGCAATTTGTAATTTTTTGAGGAAATTTTTACTTTTCTGAGAAAATTTTTAGTTTGAAAATGGAATGTGCTTGCGTGACACACCGGTACTAATTACACGCACAGTGATTTCTGGTTGCTTATTACCTCTAGAAAGGTGGCAGTAGGCGTGCATTGCAAGGTACGTATCGGGACTACCGTTGTGCCACGACAGTACCAGGGACGACGGTCGGTCAGGACTAGATGGCGGATTGCACTCTCAGTATTGTCCTCTAGATGGCGCTAGTGTCGCTTTAGCCACCTGTTACGATTAAAAGGTTCTTTTGGCCAAAAGGTAGCGTACTGAAAGTTCTGAATAGATGGAAACTGAAGTGCTAAAATGAGTGCGATGTACCGCTGTAAAAATTACGGCGGTATCGAAACTACTAGAGGAGCAATCGACAATTGAATGGTTCCTCTCGCTGCATGCTACGGGTCGCAGTTTCATTAGGTACAGCAGACTTGTCCCAGTGAGTCGGAGTAACTTCTGCCATAGTCAGACGTATCCTCCAACCAATTTTTGAATCGAGGTATCTGCCTCTTCGGGTCCTTTGAAATCTTTTACAAGTGAAGAACATCACCCTAGCGTCAAAATATTGTAGAATTCGCATGGGCCGACCGCTAGTCCAGTGGTGGTCCGGCCGAGGTACGGAATGGTAGTACGGGGTTGTACTAGGCCCGTACCACAGATGGATGATGCCGAGGACAGCCAGCAGACTACCCTTTTTGGGCAAACAGTACCTCACCAGTGCTACTAAAGGGGATGATACGATATCTGTGAGTGCACCTCCAATGAAGGTACCGCGTAGTACGAAATGTTGACTGGGTAAACAACGTTTTGGCAGGGGGTGGAAACCACTTACGCCCCTCACCCCTTTTGAAGGGGATGTGGAGCCGCCAGCGGGACTCCGTGTTCGCGGCACGATGGAGGGGTCCCTCGGGCAACTCCACACCAAATTTGAAGTGATTCGGTCCATTCGTTCCCGTCCGGGGCCCAAAAGACGTTAAATCGTGTCACTTTCAACCCCTAAGTTTGCACCCCTGATTCTCCGTAACCAGGAGGGGCACAACATCCGCTCAGGTGCGCCGAGGAGCGCACGACCTTCCCTGACAAGGGTGCAAACGCCGAAACCCCTGCGACCAACGAGTCAGCCGCCAGAGCGCTCAGAAAATGAGACGTGTCCGCGACGCGTCCGCGACGCGTCCGCGACGCGCCAGATATATAATCTGCAAATTATAACGACACATACTACGACATATGTTAAACATTGGCCATGTCAGATGTTAAAACAAGGTAGGTTTACGCCAGACCGCGTCCTGTTGTAACAGGCTTCGCGATGTCTCGCTGCCTGTTCCTCCAATCCGCGCCTGGCGTACCTACCTTGGCCTGCGGCGCTAGCCTCACTGTTAAAAATTTTTGCTGAAAATTCAGACTTTTTTGACTGAAGTAAATATGCAGAACATCCTACTGAAAATTCAGACTAAATCCTGGTCTGAAATTTTCAGACTTACATAAGTCTTAAGCTTTCAGGCAGGTCGTAGTCTGAAAAATTCAGACAAAATTTTCTCAATTATTACATATTTTTGTCTGGAAGTGGCGGCAGGACAGTGTTCCCGGAACTCGGTGAAATAATAATGTTTTAGTCCGAACCTCAAAGGAGAGACGTACTCCAAGAGACCGTCTAGGTAAAAAATCGAGTGTAGGGGAATGTCCTCGAAGTAGGACTCTTCCCTGCAGTCACCTGGAGCTGGTCTGACACACCCAAGGGAACGACGGCACGGAGCCAACCGCGAGAGGTAACTTCAAATGTCAATTGTTGAACTCACGCGTTTGCTACCGACATAAATTTGGTATGGGAGCGTGTGTTTCGTCATAGCGAATAGAGTGATAGCTGTTTCGGGTTGAAAATATTATAAATTTAACAGAAAAAGGCGTTTTTAACAACGGCAAGCTCTTTACCGACACTGGCGCCACCTAGCGGAGAGAAAAATACTTTCGTTTTGTCTGAAGTCCCCGAAACGAAGTCGGATTATATTGAATGTAAGACTGATTGTGTGTTAACCTAATGTTAGGTTGGAAGAAAGTTGTCCAATTTTCTCTTATGTTAAAACATATTTCAGAAAGTAGTCTGAATCCGAAATTCAGACTCATGAGGTCTGGAAAGTCTGACGCAAGGTCATCTGAATTTTGAGAATGAGTACAAATATTAAGACACTTCGAGTCTGAACCAAGCTTTCAGACAAAGCGTCCAGGAAGTAAGACAAAAACTCTAATTTTTCAGAATAAAGTCTGATTAACAGATTCAGACCGCTAAGTCTGACAATATTGGTCTGAATTTTCAGAATTTTTTTAACAGTGCTGCCTTTGGCAGGCAATCGCTTGTCCGTCCATTGTCGATTATTTTTTAACTTGTTGCATGCTGGGGGGCCCCGCCCCCCAGACCCCCCTACATTCTAGGTAGAGATACTTTATATGCAGATAACACGATCTTGACCCTTGTAACTTTTTAACTTGTCGGGGCTGGGGCCAGACCCCCCTTTCTTTAAGACAAGGTAGGTTTACGCCAGACCGCGTCTTGTCGTATCAGGCTTCGCGATGTCTCGCTGCCTGTTCCTCCAATCCGCGCCTGGCGTACCTACCTTGGCATGCGGCGCTAGCCTGCCTTCGGCAGGCAATGGCTTGTCCATCGTCGGTTACTTCTACCTTGTTGCATGCTGAGGGCCCCCAGACCTCCCTTCATTCTAGATAGAGTTGCTTCATCTACAGATAACACGATCTTGACCCTTGTAACTGTTTAACTTGTCGAGGCTAGGGTAGGGTGGTCCAAAAAAAAGTGAAGTTGCTCGGATTGTCCAACGCCGCCCGGATTTGGATTCTACATCAAAAAATATGAAATACGTGTTTTTTCCTTTTTCGAAAAAATGATTATTAGGACCTCCGCAGAGCCCTCAAAGTTTTTGACAGTGCTATAAATAGGAAAAAATCGTAACTTGGTCATTTTTTGACCGATTTTCAAAAACGAAACGGGGATTTGTTCGTTTTTGAAAGCTTATTACGAAAAAAAT